TGGTGGGGGGGCTGAGAGGATTCACCAGCGACAGAGTGGGGAATAGTACAGGCAGACTGACTGAAAGACACTGAGCAGCGGGTGAGTCAGGAGAGGTCTGCTGTGCCAGGTGGGTAGCTCCCTGGCTGGGCATTGAACTCACACTTCAGTGGCTGAGGATAGCCTCAGGTTGTGTCTTAACCCCTTGCGCCACCAGGCTGCTCCCACTGTTAAATTTTTAACAATTTTGCAAGACAGCTGTTTAAAATGCCCATTATTAAAAAATAGTTTAAAGCTACATTTAAATAAAATATTAAAAACCAAGATTATAAATATTCAAACTCATCACTTCCACATTGTTCTTTTCCATTTAACTGTTATGTATGTTCTTGAGGAAGTTATTTGCATCTGTTGTATCTCCATGGTGGAAACCTATGTAACAGAGCACTATGAAATATGTCAAGTCTGTGTTTAGTGACATCAGATTTGTCACTTGAAATGAGTCATGGTTGGCCCATGCTACAAATTGCTCTTAATTTATTGTTTGGTTGATTGTCTAATCTTAAGAAATGTTAATAATCAGATTACAGTTGAAAGTGTGTCATACAGCTATGTTATATAAAGAGTATAAAAAATAAGAAATATGAACCCACCATTTGAAAACTGTTATCTGATTCAGAAAAGATGCTATTCACATCCTGGCAGAGCAAGGGAGGTTCTGACACACTTCTTGGTTGCTTCCTTTTCCTCATAAATTACTAAAGTAAGCAAAAATACCAACTAGTGTTAATGTCCCCTATCAGATTTATTGATAATATATTGGGGAAAGAGCAGATGGAGATGTAAAATCCATTTGTCAAATCCTGGATAGATTGCAGCCATAATTTGGCTACCAATACATATTATAAATAAATATTGTGGACTTGATTATAATATGTTAATTGTGTGCTATCATCCTTTATACCAATAAAAATTACAACAAACTAATGTACATGTACACATATATCTTTCTTTTTTTTCTTCAAAGAGCCTGTTGTTTAATAGTTGTCATCATACCACTGGCAAGTAGTGGGATTTGTTGTTTTAGTCTTATTTAATTCTCTAGAAACTCCTTGAAGAAGGTATTATCTTTGCTTTGTAGGTATGGAAAGTGAGGCCAGCAGACCTTGGAAACAGTGCCAGTGACACAGCTACACAGAGTTGAGATGAGGCTCCAGGTACATTCTGGCCAAGGTTTCAGCTTTCCTGTTGACCCTTTTGACTTTGACATTTCCTCATTACCCTACGTTAAGTCACTGGTGATACACTCTGGCCTGGGTATGCTCCTTTGTGAAAAGAGAACCATCCTATCTATACTTTCCCCGAACTCTTATGAGGATCAAATGTGAAAATAATTTGTAGACTTAAAGTACTAAAGTAATATATAATTATTTACTGAAAAGTAAGGCATTTGAGATAACATTTTGCTTGAAGAACATCCTTATTTTGAGTTTGAGTCAGGTGCCTTGAAAATGAAAATTTCCATATACTTGCTGAAAAACAGAATGTGCCTTTTGCTTTCTCTTAGAAAAAATATCTGTTATAAATTGCAAGATATTTTCATGCTTTGAGCTTCTTTGCAAACCTCCAACACCTTTTTATTTAAGCACTGTTAATTTTTTCCAGTAATAGATTGATGGCTTCTTAAAGTGTTTAGCGACTCTGTATGCCTGAGTTTTTATCAGCCTGGAGCATCCCTGGAGGTAGTGTATGACCAGCAGATTCTGGGGAAGCAGCCAAGAACTGAAAACCAATGCATAAGTGGAAAGAAAGTAAAGCAAATTAATTTTTTTTTGAAAAGCAATCAAATTGTTTGCATCAGAGTATTGTTACTAATATTTTTGGATAATTTAAAGTTATTGGAGAATATAAACACATTTAACTAACCTTGGATATGTAGATGTTAGATTGTTGTGTGGGTAATAGATAATTTTGCCCTATATCTGTCTCCCAAGGCCAAAGTACTTCCAGATGATGACATTTTCTATTGCAATTTGGAGTACTTATAGGCCCTGATTCAGCTAGGTAATTTTAATATCTACTATGGCATTAAGTTCACTGCATGAACTAGTGCCATGATATGAAATTAATCAAATCTGAATGAAAATGTCATTAGAAAGTTAAATTATGTCACTGATACCAGACTAGCTTCACATAAGCAATGATTATAGTCCATTGTGATATAATAGATTCTGAAATTCAGTCATTAGTTTCTCCACACTAGGGATAACTAATTATTGATGTGGTTAATTACTTAAACCCATTGATCACTGTTTAGTATTTCATTACTTAGATTTTTAGCTCTTTGAAAAAACTTTTTATGTAATATTCTTAATATGTACAGGTGCATTTCCTCGATTATTATTTCCTACAAGCTAACTTAGTAAAAACACTGATGATCTAATAAAATATCAACCAAGTTATTTTTTAAGCTCCTATTTCATAGGGGATTGCTCATAAGTATTAAGGGAAATTGTTCTTTTTATAGTAAAAGAAGTGGATTTCTCAGTACATTAGAATCATATTCACTCCCTCAAGGAGACTTAACGACCTCCTCTGTCACTATGCCTGACTAGAATAGGCCAGATTAGCTTCTGTGTGTAAGTAAGTTTTAGGGAATTCTAGATAGTTTTAGGCAACTATGTAGTTCAGGATCACCTAACAGCTGAATGTCCATTTTCTCTGGAAGGATAATGCAGTTTACTGATGTAAATCTAAGTAGTGATGTCATCTCCTTTTATTTAAGGTGCTATATCATAGCAAAATATTAACCTTCTTAGTTTTTATAAGACCCTGGGAATACCAGAAGCTTTTTGACCTATATTAGTCAGGATAGATGAAGTTGTTACACTGACAAACAGTTCTAAGATCTTTGTTGTAAAACAGCAAAGTTATTTCTTGCTTATGTTATATATCCCTCATGAGTTAGTCTCTGCTAGGTGTCTGCTTTGTTAGGGACTAAGACTGACAGAGGCTCCCTCTTAATTTTCATGGTCATCATGGTAGTAGGAAGAGCACATGCTGAATGGCACACTATGTTTTCCCAGGAGCACAATCTTACCACGAGCACAAGAGAATAGGTCCAGAACATCTGTGCCCAACAATGATGGATTATCACCCATCTGCACTAAGGGTAGGTATCAGGGAACTCTTGTAGCCACATCATTCTGTGGAGTCACCTCTAAAGTTCTATAACCTTTGAGCAGTATTAAGTGGCATCAATTGAATATGTTAGATGATGTATGTGGTTATTTACTTTGGACAATCTGTAATCCATCTGCAACATTTCAATCCTTCTCTTACAATCTCACTACATTCTGAAATACTCATGTAGAATTGACCAAAATCAAACAATTATTTGTATAGTTATTTTCCTAAGTACAGTGAGGGAAGAGATTATAATCACATTTTTTTAATAGTATCTCCTTGAGAGCCGAGCTCAGAGTAGTCAAAAAAATATGTAGACAATGTGAGCAAAAAACTAAATGAGAAAAATAGAAATTCCAGTTACACAGAAGGGTTGTCAATTGCATTAGCTTTAGGTAGGTATAGAGGACACAGCAAATAGAAAATGTTTTACTTTCCTCTTAATATCTATGAATCTCTGTGGTTATCCCACTTTGTATTTCTGATATTGACAACTTGTGTTTTTGATCTTTTCAAATTGCTATGTCTTGCTAGGGGTTAGTACATTTTATTTACTTTCAAAGAATCAAACTTTGTATCTTTGTTTTTCCATTGTTTGCCTGATAGCTATTTCATGCGAGTATTTTATGTCTATATTCATTTTATTTTTGTTCTTATCTTTATTATTTCTCCCTCATACATTTTTGGGCTTAATTTGTTCAGTTTCATTGTTTCTAGCTTCTTAAAATGGGAGCTTACATATTACTTTTCTAATCACTACATTTCCTATCTTCTACAAATTTAAATATGTTGTATCTTCGTTATGATTGAGTCCAAAATATTTTCTAATTTCTGTTGTAATTTTTTTCTTTGATTCACTCTATTTAGAAGAGTTTGTTTCTAAACACTTTATGCAGATGTCTGAGAATTTTCTGGATAAGTTATTGCAATTCAATCTAATTTAATATCATTTTTTGACAACTCTCAAGACTTACTTTCTGATGAGCATATGGTCTCTTTGTGAATAGTCCATGTGCCCTTGAAATTGATATGTATTGTTTAGCTGTGATTGTGGTCTATAATTTGCAAATAGTCAAGTTGATTGATAGTGTTGTTAAGGTCTATTGTATCTTTACTAGTTTTTACTCTTCTTTTTCAATCAATTATTGAGATAGGGATATTGAACTCTTCTGATTTTTAGCATTAATGATATTTACAAGATTGTTATTATTATGTTAGTTGCTAAGTGGTGAATTTTTTTTCATTTATTTCAAGGGAAGATCTCTGCCTCATAGCTTTCATCTTTTTAAAAAATTATCTCACTGAATTATTGATTTATTCAGTGAGTTATAAACCCTATGGTGATAATTTTTTAATGTTTAGTTTATACTAAATTCCCCCAAAGGAAACATATCTGCTCTGCCTGGGGAGCTTCTATTCAGCCCAAATTAGAGGCTGCCATGATATATGAGATACAAGATTATGGGGTAACATGGCTGTTGCTGCAATTTATAGGTCAGAGAACCACACTGAAACCACCAATGAAGCAACTTCCCCATCCAGATACATGAAGCTGGTGATTGGGTATTGGAGTGGGTAGTGTAGCCACAGCTCTCCCTCAGCCACCTCCCAACTGTCATTAACTGGGACTACAATTGGAATATGACTTCAGAGAAAAACAAAATATACATCCCCATGCCTTTATTTTCCATAGCCAAATAAAATGTTTTTTGACTCATCATCACTTCAAATTTGTGTAACTAGTGGATATAACTAGTGGAAGCTATCTTGAACACAGAACTCCAGTTCTAAGAGCAAATGGAAAATATTATTTTCATATTTCAATGTTTTTATAGGAGGAAGACCACCAAATGGATATTAGAATGGAGACCTAGCTAGCACCCAGCAGAGACAGGTACTGTTGTTATTTACATTTTGCAGACACTGAACCTTAGAAATGCTTTTTACTTTGTTATTAAGGTTGGAATTTGGACACAAAATTTTAAGTTTCTCAACACTAAGATGCATTTAATGAGTTTCATTCATTTTTCTTTTGCATCTTGCTTCCAACCTTTTGTACACTCTCTGGTCCAAGGTCTATGATTCAGAGAATAATGACATTGGGAGTCTTGTTGGAATATTTGAGAAAACTTTCATCATCTGAGACTTAACTGTTTTTTTATCCAAACACTTTTAGCTACTCATTTTCAATTAAATGGAATATAATTATATGATTAGACTCAGATGAGCTACAGGGAAATTCACAAATCTAATTGAAACCAAAAAATAATTGGAAAGCCTATCTATGGTGCCCAAAACTGTAGGAAATATATACTTTAGCTTTATCAGTGACTTTGCACTGAAAATTACTCTGGGCTTGCAAAGGCAAGGCTTATTGTAGAGAATGCAGAATTTTACTACACATTCTGAGTCCATATGGCAAATTAATAAAGGACATGATTCTGGGTTCTTCAAAGTTATATTTCATATTTTACTTTGCAAATTACTTTGAAATTCATTCTTGTATCTTGGCATAAGATTAGTTCAGCCACCTAAAGGCTATCAGCAGTGTCTTTGATTGACAGGCTCTGCATGGAATTTAAGGCTTCTCAGTTTTAATTTGCACTTTAAAGCATTAGTTTGTAGGTAGGAGAAGCTGAAGACCCTTCCAGAACCCATTCTACCCTGTTGGAGATAGTTGTTCTTTCTGACCTGTCTTAGCCTTTGAGTAAATAGGAAGAAAATGAAGCTACCATGCATTGCTCCCTCACTGTCACCTGTACTGGGTTCTAGAGGAGAGAATATAAAATTCCCCAAAAGTTTGGCTTCTTATTATAGGCAGAGTCTAATGTATTCAAAGTATGAGTTCTCTTCTCGTGTCCTGCTTTATTTTATGTTTTGGTTTTTATTGGAGAGTCCATCTCTAACATTTGTCACATATTTTTTTTTTAATCACAGAGAACAATTATTATTTATTTTTCTAGAATGAGATTTGGAATTATCTTCAAGCAATTACTTAGTTCAGGATCTATCTGCTGAATATAAACCAGTGATGATAGAGGAATTTTGTTGAGAAAGAAATTAGTGCAAGTAAAGTATTTATGGCTGGCAGAAGTTTATTAATGATTAATGGCATGGAACATAAAAAATGAAGAATAATGTTAAAATAAATTTTAGTAATGGCCTTGTGCAAGAAGAATGAATACAAAGGAACATGAGTAACTGTTTATTAATCTGGAAAATAATAGGGAAGGTGTGAGCTTTTTTGATAATTTGTTGCCTCTTTTAAGTTTACTTCTGTCTATGAAGAATTGAAGTTTAATTTTTTTTAAAGATTTATTTATTAATTTATATAAGCACTGGGTACAGTCCGAAGTGCAGGAGGGTGAGAGAATTCACCAGAGCCAGAGCGGGGAACAGAACAGGCAGACTGATGAAGCACAACGCTGAGGGGAGCAGTGGGTGTGGCAGGAGAGGTCTGTTGCGCCATGTGGGACCCTCACTTGCAGCTGGGGATTGAACCAGTACTGCAGAGGCTGTGGGCAGCTTCGCAGCCCAGCGCTCAACCATTGCGCCACCAGGGGAGGCCCTGAAGTTTCATTTTTTAAATAACTGTAGAAGTATGAATCAGTGGATAAAGAGATACCAGTGAGGTAGAAAGTTATAGAAAAATATGGGAAATTATAATGATAAAAGAGAGTACCAGGTGGAATGGATCACTAATAATATATTGCCAGAGGTTGGTACAGACAAAAGTCCTCAGAAGTGAATTGGCCATGTAGACTTGATCTCCTTTCTCCTTAAATACTAACACCCTAGATAACCCCCACCAAATATGAGAGGCTGTGAAAATATTTTAGGCTTTGTGGCCTCTATCATCTTTTCAACCTTCTGTGACATGCAGGACTGGGCAAGGAATGCCAGGGAAGGGAATATTCAGACCTCCTGGAAAAGATTGGATGTGCTGAGAGGGACTAAAACTACCACAGAAGCAGCAATGAAAGCAACAGCAGTCTTTCTCAAGACAAGTCTACAAAATGATACTCCAAAATATGTAAGTGAAGGATGATTGCTCCCAAATGAACTAATGGCAAAACAATTTATGCACATTAAAAGAAAATAAAAGAACTATCTAAAAATGGCTTTGAAATATTAGATAAGTAAATTTAGAGATTAGATAGAAGAAACAATATTTGTTTGGTTTTGGTATTAGTGTATTGTTGGCTTTGTAGTATGTAGTTGGTAGAATGTAGTTATAGATGTAGTTGGTAGAATGTAGTTGTAGAATGTAGTTGGTAGAATGTAGTTGTAGAATGTAGTTGGCTTTGTAGAATGTAGTTCCCGCTTTTTCAATTTTTTGAAAGAGTTTGTGTAGGATAGGCACTAATTCACTGCTGAACGTTTGGTAGAATTCATTTGTGAAGCCATCTGGACCTGGGCTTTTTTTGGGGGGGAGTGCTTTGATATCTGCCTCAATTTGGCTGCTTGTAATTGGTCTGTTTAGGTGTTCTATTTCTTCTTTGTCCAGCTTTGGAGACCCAAAGAAACAATATTTTATAAAGAAATAATTTAATGCAAAAAGCAAGAAAAGATATATATGGCAATTAATTCAAAATCCTATAAATGAAAAGGTAGATCTTAATCTGATACAATTGCAAAGACAATTCAAGGAATCAAAAACATTATTGTGAGTACTTTGAATTTAACATAGAGAGGTACTGAGATTAAAAATATAAAGGGATGATATGGAAAAGGGAATATTAATAGTGAGGGATTACAAAAGATATAGGCTAAGGAAAAGAAAATAAAGAATAAAAGACCAATATGAAAATTGGCTTTACTATTCAGGACTCAATGGATTTGTAAAGTAAATGTTCCAAATCTAGTCATTGTGCATCAGGAGAGATAATAAAACCACACCAAAATATTATCCTCAGGTGGGAGAAAATAAAGGATAAAAATGAAAGTTTAAGTTGGAAAGAGAAATTATTTATACAACAAATAAACCACAGAATGGACTTCTCATCAGCGATGTTAAATACTGGAAGATAGAGAAATGCTTATTAAAAATGCTGAAGAAATCTAATACTGAAAACTATCATTTAAAGAAGGAAGAGAAAATTAATGAACAAACTTCCTTCAATTACTTTCAGAAAGAATTATTTAAAACAATGCTGTTCAAAATGAAGCACACGTGGATACTCATTAAAAACTTGATCACAGTCAAATCAGGTGTTATAACATTTTTCTCATGAAGGTACAGATAGAAAATATTTTAGGCTTTGCAAGCTCTATCATATCTTTCACAAGTACTTGATTTTTTTTGTTGTTGTTGTATCATAAAAGCCATAATAGGCAAGATATAAAGGATGGTGTGTGTGCCTGTGTGTGTATATATATATATATTCTACAAAAGCAGGTGGCAAACCATCTACGGCTCACTGGCTGTTGTTTGCTGACCACTACTCTATCATCAAAAGAGAGACTCAAACATTGTCCAGAATATTAGCTCTCTCTGTGCCCCATCTGCTCTGGTCCTCTTCAGCATCAGAATAAATAGAAAGAGCACAAGAGTTCTCAATCTCTGTATGTGTTACACCTCTGTGTTTAGACATTTATCATATGCTTCTACCTGTGCTAGAATTTGGCAACATTCATAACTTAACAATTATTTTTATTTCTAATTGTAATTACAAATTTATATAAGCCTCAGCTTCTCAGAAAGATGGCTCTCTTATGGAGACAGCCCCCATGAGTTCTGAAATGCTGGGGATGGAGGGGTCTTCACAGATTTTTGTGCCTTTGAGCAGAACAGAAGTATATTCTGGGCTGAGTGCCACTTGGATGCCTTTGTACAGTTACTCATATTCCTTTTCTTTCTTTGCTGTTTCCATCTCTCCTTTCAAAAGAACTAACTGCAGACAAACAACTCTCTGAGGGCTTGGATTTAGCAGAATGTGTATGGTCATTTAATTTCTTCTGCCCTCTGTGCAAAAGGGTCACATTCATATAACTGGTTATTGGCAGAGTTGGCAATTTTTTAAGTTAATTGATTTCCTGGCACCAAATATTACACTTTTAAAAACAGTTTTATCAGAAGAAATATGAGGCAAAAGCTGAACTTCAGTTCCTAAATCACTCCCAGACTTCACAGTAACTTATTCATTCCCACAATTTGAGATAGAAATTGGGGACCCAGACAAAAAGGAAGGGGTCTGCTGATGGTGACAAAAAAGATACAGTATGACCAGTTTTTTTCTGTCTGTTCCTAGAAATATATATTTTTTCCTGCCTATGTATTCCTCCTAATTCACCTTATTGAGAAATGCTTGTAGTTCTTTTAGTTCTTTGGCTAACTTTGTTGCAACTCTGGGTCCTAGTGTAAAAAAGTTTTATGGCTTTTATTGTTCAAAAAATTATACAAGTCTTATACATTAAACATGATGAACATGACAAAAATTAAAGTAGGTGGAGAAAACAGGCCCAAAAGAAAATTAAGGTAGGGAAGTAATGTCAGTTAGAATTAAATTTTATCATAAAGTCTGTGACATTAAGTACTTGAAACACTTATTAATCCAAGCAACCAAAGCAAGATCATATATGGTTAAGGAAGAGCTATTGTTTCCTTAGTAAGTAATCCAGGAGCCCTTATAAAAGATATATAATATGATATACAGTACACATGTCAGAGAAGGCTTGCTAGTAAATACCCTATACAACAAAGTGTAGTTTTGTAAAATTAATTCAGTTGTCCTATCAGGGAAGTGTGACCACTGCTTGCTAGTCTAATATGATTCAAGGATAATTTTGGAATATGTATGAGCATAAGCTGAATATCCTGTAGGTAACACGCCACAAAAATTCTGTAATTGCTGAGTAGTATTCCATGGTATATATGTACCACATCTTCTTGATCCAGTCATCTATTTTTGGGCTTTTGGGTTGTTTCCATATCTCAGCTATTGTAAATAGTGTTGCTATAAACATAGGGGTGCATTAATGATTCTGTGTCATTTGGGTAAATACCTAGGGATGGAATTGCTGGATCATATGGAAGCTCCATATTTAGCAGGTTGAGGATCTCCACACAGCTTTCCATAGTGATCAAAAAAGATAAACTCATGCAATTTGCAGCAACATGGATGGAGCTGGAAGGGATCATGCTCAGCGAAATAAGCCAGAAAGAAAAGGAAAAATATTGGATGGTCTCACTCATAGCAGGAATTTAGAAAACTTAAATAAGGGACCAGGAAAAAGACTAATTATAATAAAGTAATAATCAAAATCAACAAGCAATTATAAACAAGGGGGTGGGAATTGGGGAATATAACCAAGATGAAAATGCATACATTGTACAAAAATGAAAAATGATGTAAAATATATAAAATAAAAATAAAAAAAATCTGTAATTGAGCTCGTTATAAGATCTATGAAGAGTGTAACAAAACTTTCATTGTTGTAATCTTTGGCATAATTCAGAAGTACAGAATTTTGAAGTGGTTTATTGATGACAGAACCAAATACTTTGAAAATCAGCTGGGCAACAGGGGGAGTTGGTATCATCTTATAATGAAAAAGGGACTTAATGAAGTTAAGTGCTTGCTTAGATGCTTTTCCTTGAATTAGTTAGCATTTATGCATTTCAGTTTGGGATGATATTTACCATTTCATTATTCAGTCTAGAAATACTATCTGGAAACTAACCAGTAAATACTAGACTAGTGATTCTCCAAATTTCATTCTACTGAAGTTCATTTGGGTATCTTGTCAAATATGCAGATCTCCCCATGTCCAAATATTCTGATTTAATAGATCTGTGTCAAAACTAGGAAGCTGCATTTTTGCAGGTGGTTAGTACAATTTGCAAAACATTACTGTAAACATGGTAAGTCTGTACCCTGGGACTGAGATTGCTATAGCGTTAGCCAAAATTCTATCAGTGGATCATTATTAGAGAATATTGTTTCATTTAATTTTCCCCTTTTGGAAGTTGAGGCTCATGTCTCATTTTCATATGATTTTTATAAATGTTCTTCATTGATTTAAAGCTCTAAATTTAGAGGAAGATAGAATAAATTTCTCTGGGTAATATAAAAATCTCTACTAGTTAAGGATTTACATCAATTGCTCAGGAACAACTTTGGTTTTATACTTTATTAATATAGTTCACTGATTTTTAGTACTATTATTCTTGGAAATTTCTTTTTATTGTTCACAGGATGCCTGAGGGAGCTCATGTTATTTATAGTGGTGTAGTTATAAACAGATTGAGAGACACAAGCTGCATCAGTAAGTACCTAAAAAATGGCGCAGAGCAGGGTAGAAGAAGCAGTTTTTACTCCTGGCAGTCCACGTATCTTCCAAAATGGGCTGGTGAAAATTGCGTCATCTGATTACCTGCTTGAGTAGTTCAGGTGAAGAATCTGCATATTTCCATTCTTCTGCAATCAAGTTATTTGCCTTAAAAACAGAGCTGCCCAAAACAGCACATCATGCTTCAATTCACACTGTGAGCAGTGTCAGAGAATGAGCTCTTCTTGCTCTCTATCTGAAATTCTGCATTAATTTACTTAATCATTTTCAGTAGGATCTTTTCAGAGACAAATACTGAAGAATGTACAACTTTTTGAAATAGCAAAACTTACATGTGTTCTTTCTATTGTGTTAGGCAGGTACTGGGTAAGTTTCTAGGAGAAGGGAAAGAATAGGATCGATGATCTCACTAAGGAGTTGATATCTAATACCTCATCATATCAATGGGGTCTCCACTGCTTTATCTCATCCTTATTCACCCACGATTTCTCACCACAATTTGTCATTGTGGATGAAAACATCACTTCACCAGTTTATTTTCTACTATCACAGCTTTAGAAATATTATGCTTTGGCAAAAAATAAGTGTTAATGTGTTTTAATATAAAAGCAGAGAAGTAGTAATGAAAGCAGTTATTTTTTAAGGAAAATATCAAGAGGGGAAAAAGGAGAAATGCACACTTGGTCATGAAGTGGCTATGATTTTCTTTTCATCTAAGGAGAATCTCACAGGGGTTTCCTG